GGACAAGTTATACATAAACCCCTCAAAACCCAGTGTCCCTTCTTGAGCCACTAGTAGTTGGGAAAAATAATTTAAAGAAAAAAAATCTGGGACCTGACAGATAGGGGTTTATTTACTAAAGCCGGAGAGTCCAAAATCAGACTCCCTTCTGCATAGAAACCAATCAGCTTCCAGGTTTCATTGCCAAAGCTTCATTGAACAAGCTGAGGTTAGAAGCTGATTGGTTTCTATGCAGAAGGGAGTCTGATTTTGGACTCTCCAGCTTTAGTAAATAAACCGCATATTGTCCAGGGAATGGATCTTGTAAATCACTGCTAAAACAGAATTTTAATTAATTTGTATCTACTGTACATGTAACTTAAAAAAAATGTAGGCACTTTTCAACATGAACATTTTTTTAGGGGTTATACAGTTGATTCTAGTGGCTGCTTGCAAGCATAATCATGAATGATTTGTAATGACAACTTTATATTTATGACTGTCGATGCCTGACATATCAGTTCAAAAAATATTTGTGTGATGCTGCAACCCATAGAAAATATATATGTTCTCTTCTGTTATATCATATATGTAGGTTTGTTCATGACTGATTGTTTTTTGAATATTCACCAGTTCTAATTTTTGATGTTTCTATATATTCAGATTGACATGTGGATTAATTCACTAGATTCCACTTTTTATATTTAGTAACCTATAGCAACCAATCAGTATTCATGTTGTACTTGTCTGACCTACTGAGTGGCTTATTTGGGATACTGCACCTAATTATTGGCACTCAAGAAGATATTCTCTTACTTAAAGTGTTACTAAACCCAGGACCCTGCATTCACTATATCTTGTCTCCTACAGTACACAGAGCATGGAAATGCAATTATTTTAGTAAATATAAACTTCTAAGTACCTTTATTCAGTTAGAGCAGTCTTGTAACTTCTAGCAGTGTCCAGCTGAGCACATGTTAAAGCTTGTAGGAGGAGTTTTCATTTTGTTCTAGGAGGATGCAAAACCCCTGACCTCTGTTTGGACAGTGCTGATTGGCTCTGTGCTGATCACATGCAATCTCCCAAGGAAAAAAACCTTTAGCAATACACACCAAACCGAGCATGTGCAGAGTGACTCCACGCGATATGTCTTATCAGGAGATAAGAGGGGGACACTGGAAGAAGGGAAAGATCATAGAAGTCAGGATCAAATAGTGTTTTTACACAATGCAGAGGATTAACCCCTTAGGTTCTACAGTGAGTATAACAAGCATGCTTACTGCATATACAGACTGAATTTACTGTTGTGGGTTTAGTAGCACTTTAAGACAGATAGGGGTTAATTAAGTAAAGGCAAATAGACTGCTTACTTTGCAATTTTTCCTTAGCTTAGTGGATACAATGAAAATTAACTTTGCAATGAATCACACTCAAGGAAGATTTTAAAAATAGTACTTTTGCTTGCACATGATTGGATGATGTCAGGAGAACTTTACTCATTCACTAAGCTAATGGGAAATCCTCTTATTACGTACATTGCAAAGTAAAAAGCCTATATGCCTTTAGTAAATCAACCCCTTAGAGGGTGATTTACTAAAGCTGGAGTGTGAAAAATCTGGTGCCGTTCTGCATAGAAACCAATCAGCTTCCAGGTTTTATTGTCAAAGCTTAATTAAACAAGTTGAAGTTATAAGCTGATTGGCTACCAGGCATAGGTGCTTCGGTTTTAGTAATTCTCCCCCATAATATCCGAAAAAGAAATATTGGATTTCTGCTCTCAACTGGGCCCCCAGCTGTCTTCAGGATATTTTTATACAATGTTATTGTTTTCACAATTTGATGACTGTATTTACTTTCTTTTAATAGTGTATGGTTGTAAATGATGCATTTTTTTATGTACCATAATGAAGACTATCTGATTAGAGGTTTGGCTGTCTGTTTCCAAACCAAAATAAGGTTTTGGCACATTGGAGATTGGTATTAGGGATCCTTGGGGAATGCAGGCTGTTTTTGCTTGGTTGATCAGCTGATAACTCTTGTTTTGTACTCAACCACTTTATCTCAAACTATTTTGGATCTTTATGTCCCAGCATGTCCTGAATACAGAGTTTGCAAAGAGAGAACGTGTGAGAAATACGAAGATTTGTACAGCACCTGTAGAACTACAACTTAATTAGCACTACTTTTCAGACAATCAAGAGCGGATACTTGTCTGCGTACATGGTATTGATGTGCAGACATGAAAAAAGAAATATATTAAAGAAACCAAAATGGGAACTGTTTCAATCAAATAAAGATGAACAATGGTGACACAATATAGGATTTCTAAACTCTCATCCCTTCCATGTGGCAAAAAGTACCTTTCTTATCTGTTTCTAATTTAAGAGCAGAGCCTCAGTTACATCATTGAAAATCTGTGGAAGTTTCATGCTTTATAATGGCCATTACATTTCACATTCCTTCTCTAATTATTGAAAACCAGGGACAGAAAATATATTATAGCATGAAATACAGCCTTATTTTGAGGCTACCCCATTCCTCTTTATGGGTCTCTTATTAAAAGAGGGCATCAAGTATTTTTCAGAGCCATATAGTAAAAACAACAAATAGATAAAATTGCAGTCACACAAATAATGTAAAAGTGGTATTATAAGCTTTTTCTAACTCAAAAAGCCCTTCCACAACATTTATAGGGTCCATAAGTTAATGGTTAGCTATTCCTGTTGTAAGCTAGGGCTACACAGCCAATTTTAACCTCTTTCTTCTGAAGGATTTAACCACTTGATAGCAATAACCTCTTCTGTAGAACATGAAAATCAATGGACTGCCAATAAGATGGTTGCTGCCAAGGGGTGACCAAACTCTCTTCTTCCTCTTATTTATAATATACAATGAACATACTGTGTCAGTAAATGGACTGTCTGAAGAATCCACTCAACATACCATAGACTTGAAAAAGTGATAAAGCTGTAAAACATCAGTGCCATAAAAGCTCATTTAGAGGTTGCGTTCCTAGTTTTAACCCTTTTGCTGCCACCAACACATGCAATACATTGGAAGCAGGTGGGGAAGGGGGGGTTATATACACTACCAGCTGCAAAACAGTTGTGAACTTATGTAAATCTGACAAGCTGACTGTCAGATATCAGATGAAAGTGATCAAGCAGCTGTACAGCATCCTGATTTCTTTTACGCACCCACTCAACGGTCGATGCATATAACCGTAAACACAAGCATGGGAGCTCCTACACACAAAAATGTTGATTGCGCTACACATGTTAAATATCACCAGGCATGCCAAAGTCAGAACAATTATTCTAGGCCCATTATTTATGGTTAACTCTAAATTGATTACGAGTAGGGTCTTTCAAAATATTGCCCATCGAAAATGTAGGGTATCAAACTTTGTCGCCATTTTGTGGGCGCACACAATTTTAAGGCGTGCCATGTTGGGGATCTACTTACTTGGTGCAACCTTATCTTTAATATTTTACCATAAAATCTGTAATATATTGTGATTGCATGCCCTAAAATGAACTTTAATGTATTTTTTACTGAAATTTTGTACTTGAACCATTGCGCTAATAATGTGTGACATAAAAAGTTGGAACTACTAGTTTTTTGTTTAACAGGGTTTCTGCTTTGAGAAAATATATAAAATTTTGGGGTTTTTAAGTAATCTTCAGATATTAAAGGATTTTTAAATGTGTGCAAAAACAAAAACATTAAAAAGGAATCTGGCAGCAAAAGGGTTAATCTGCTGTTTTATAAGACAAATCCACTTGAAACTTTCAAAATCCATTTGTTTGTTTCTAATTTAGTTTGTATGCTGTCAGTGGGTTTTAAGAGCAGTCAGTGTCAGTTAAAATACTGTGTTCGCTAGACTGCAGCATTGTAGAAATATACATCTGCTTAAATGGGTTTATAATGTAAAATAGGAAACACAACATATGGTTTACTCTATACCATAATATCAAAGTGTAAGATGATAATTCACATGAGTTATATCAATATAAATAATTTTCATGACTGTTTAAATGCTTATCTTGCACAAAATATTTGTGAGAATTCTGCTTTTCTAACACATTTTTTCATGATAGAACTTAAGTCATAGTCAGTGTATGTTTGGGAGTTTTAGAAAAATATAGGAACTTTGACCTTTCTCTAAAGGAAATATATTCTCAGAATGTAAAACATGTAACAGGATGACCATTTGGTATTTATTTTTTTAATGAGCTCTTGTATCTAAGGTTAAAGCTTCGTTCCCAGGAGTTTTCTTGAGATTCGTAATAAAGCATGTGATATCTTGAAAGTTCATTTTGTTGGATTGTTTTACCTTGTGTGCAGTGGCTAGCTTTGTCTAAAGTCAGCAGGAAACAATGCAATGCACCAAGCATGTTTTTACCGTGTTATTGTTTTTATAGAGGTTCCTTAACCACTTGCCCTCCTGAGGATTTACCCCCCTTCATTACCAGGCCATTTATTGTGTTACAGCGCTGCGTTACTTCAATTGACATTTGTTCGGTCATGCAATGCTGCACCCAAATGAAATTTACTTCCTTTTTTTCTCAAGAATTGAGCTTACTTTCAGTGGTATTTGATAGCCTGTACATTTTTAATTGTTTGCGGTATAAGCAAAAAAAGCGACAATTTTGAAAAAAAACAATATTTTGGACTTTTGCTATTAAACATGTTCAGTAAAAAAATTTCAAAAATCAAATTTCATCATAAATTTAGGCCAAAATGTATTCTGCTACATGTCTTTGCTAAAAAAAAAATCCCAATACATGTAAATTGATTGGTTTACGTGAAAGTTATAGCGTTTACAAATGGCTGTATAGATAATGGGATTTTTTTTCTACTAGTAATGGTGGCGATCAATATCTTTTAGCGGGACTGTGGAACTGCGGCAGGCATTCTGACACTGGGGGGGGAACTAACATGGTGTCACTGACACCCCAGTGGCACCAATACAGTGATCAGTGCTAAAAAAAAAGCACTGTCACTGTACTAATGGCACTGGGCAGGAAGGGGTGAATGTGAGGGGCGATCAAAGGGTTAACTGTGTGCTGGGAGTGCTTTACTAGGGGGCGGGGAGTGTGTTATTCACTATAAGCACACTGATCAGGATGGCTGTACTGTGCACAGCCATCCACAGCAGTGTGCCTGAGCTGACAGGAAGGAAGATTGTTTGTAAACAAAATCTTCCTCTCCGTTGGAGATGCTCGGTACTCACCGAACACCAGTGGGTAATTACCGGCCGGGACCCGGTGATTGACATCCGCGGCCCGCAAATGGCGGCGCGGGTAGGGCGCATGTGCGGCTTGTGCTTGCCCCCTACCCGGAAATGCAAAATCATGTATATGTACGTGATTCTGCATACAGATATACTGCTACAGGGCGGTCCTTAAGCGGTTAAAGTGGTAGTAAAGTCACAATAATATTATAATATTTTAATAATATGATTATAAGATTACCTGTAGGTAAAATGAATATCTCCTAAACGTGCACCGACTTACCGACCGACTGTGACGGACATTCTGACACTGGAGGGAACTGACTTGGTGTCACTGACATCCCCAGTGACACCAATACAGTGATCAGTGCTAATAAAAAGGACTGACACTGTACTAATGGTACTGGGAAGGAAGGGGTTAACATCTGGGGTGATCAAAGGGTGATTAACTGTGTGCTGTTTCACTATGTTGGCTGTGTGTGTGCTTCACTGTAAGCACACTGCTTTGTATGGCATTGCTATGCAGAGCCATACAAAGCAGTGTGCAGGAGCTGACAGGGGAGAGATCTGTGTTGTTTATACACAGGTCTCTCCCCTGTTGGAGATATTCGGCGAGCACCGGGTGCCGACGAATAATCCCCGGCCGGGACCCGGTGATTGACAGCCGAGGTTGCGAATGGGGGCGCGGGTAGGGCTCCCTACCTGAAACTGCAAAATCACTTATTTATACGTGATTTTGCGCACCCGTGCCACCCTGTAGCAGTATTTCTGCTATAGGGTGGTGTGGAACTGGTTAATATCAGCATTGTAATAACCCTAAAGACAATAGTTATTTTTGACAATCCAATAACAGCTCACTGGTCATCCACAACTTCCTGAATTCCCTGTATGTGTTGCCGCTTCCCCTCTACTGTTTACATTTGATTTCTAAGGAATACATAGCTGCCTCCTGAGACTCCTCCTCTCAGCACCTCTATAGTTCAGAAAGCAGTTTCCAGGAAATGTGTGACACAGCAGTGCCCACTCCTAGAACACAGTGAATATGTGTCACAAGATTCAAGGAAGTAAATATCTGGGCTTTTCAATATCCAGGTATCCACAAACATAGGCTGGAATTGACATGTGGGTATGATGTCTGAAATTGGAGAGATAGATTGTTGACCAAAGGTAATCAGACTGATTTTTGCTTTTATTTTGTAGCCTATGCAGTGAAATAAAACCTGGATAAGTGAGCTTCTTTACTTTTCACTAGTTTTCGGAAGTCGGGCTCTGCCTGTCTGGAAGACCAGAGTTCCAAAAATTAGCCAAGTGTGGACAAAGAGACCAATTGTTTCATTGTCAAAGCTGACAATGCTATTTAGGAATCAAAATGACAATTTCATGTAAGGGTTCTTCTATATCCCTGCATTTAATGAAATAATAGATGATTGTAAAGATCAACAATGTATTTTATAGACTATAGAAATGCATGAGACCATTTATACTGAGCATATTGACAAATGGTTGTGATTAATCATCATCTAATCTGCTAATTTAAATAACTGCAATAAGATGTGTGTAACTAGTGCCACCTTGTGGAACTATATACATATTTATGTTTTTTTTCTTTACAAAGGGATAGATATGGCATATTCTAATAAATGCAGGTATGTCGCTTCTTCTTTCAGGGTCCCTAATCCCTTTTTAGACACTATGCTGAAGTTTAGAAGAGGTGGTTTAAATATATAACAAAAAAGGTGACAGTTTCAGGAGATGATCATAATATTTGAGATGTATGCTGGCATTGTGAGTTTTCTACTTCTAGAGTATGTACATCACAGCCTGGTTTCTCACAAATTCCTAGAGACTTTCTCCTGTTTTGAAGATTTGTCTCTGGAAAGAGTTATCTCTGGAAATATCCCTCATTTTAGGTTCTGACCATCTGTACAATGAAAGCAAAAATCGTTCTCCACACTTTGAATGCATTTCTAATAATTTTTTTAGGTTCTATTTAGTTTTGAAGGAAACATTTATTAAAAGTTGTAATTAAATTTTAAATTGCCCATTTCCTTTGGACATGCCTGATTTTATATATTTAAATGGGAATATGAGAGTTCAATATCTTTATCTTTAACATGATCTAATCCCATAAAGGCTGCTTTACTAAAGCTGATCAAGGACGGTTCAAATCTCGGCCTGTTCAACAGGGACCAACCCAGATTTGAACCACGAATGGCAGGCTGAATGTACCCAAGTTGATTGGCCAACTAATGTCAGGAAACTGATCCGATATTCTGGGGGATGTCATTGATCAAATATGGCTATGATGATTGACGTCAGCCAGCATCACATTAGCTGCAGACTTGGGAGCTGTCATTCTTGAAGGACAGGTGGAAAAGGATTGTTGTGCAGATGTATTTGTGTTTGTGTCAACAGGTCATCAGGCATAGTTTAATATGATTTACAATGGGACTACATTGGACAGCATGATTGGTGATGGATTTACACAATGGGACCTTTTTGTTTTGTATTTAAAAACAAGATGTGTGGCAGTGTGTGTGTTTTTTTTTTTTTTTTTTTACATTTTCCCTTTTTATTTGGTGAATGAGTAGCTAGTGTTATTACTCCTTACTCATTCATGTAGGAGGGGGCCAGATCCAGATTGTGATACACTGCCCACCGCAGACCCCCACATTCACTGGGCCAGAGATGTAGGGATGATACTCTTGTTCCCATTAACATGAGGACATGGTGCCTTGCCAGGGGTAATTTCCCCATGTTAAAGGCATGTGGACTAGTGAAGGTCAGGAGTGGGGGTGCTAGCTTGTTGCCACCCTTTCCTGGCCAGCTAGACTGCATTCCTGGATAAAGGTCTAGTATAAATTTTGGAGGGGACCCCATGTTATTTTTCTTTTTTTTGTTGTAATGTTTTCTTGGGGTCCCCCTCTAAATCCATGCTAATCCCTTATCCTTGATAAGGGCTTGGTATGGACTTTTTATTGTGGACTCCATGTCATTTTTTGTATGATGTCTCTTTCAAAAATCTATATCAAACCTCAGTCTAGGATAAGGGTTTATTATGTTTTGGGGGGCGCATTCTTTTTCTTTTTATTCTACGAGGCATGAGGCCTGGTATATTTGAAGAGGGGTGGCCAGGGAGTGTCAGTACTAGAGACATTCTAACTCTCACTCTAGAAGAAACTATAAATAATTTTAGTTGAATTTGGGTTTTAGGATTTTAGTTGAGTGCAGGTGGACATCAACAGCATGACCATTTTATTGAAAGTGTAGTGCTTGTTTGCATTTGTAACTGTTACTGCTCACACGTTACAATCTGTGTAAAAATCTATAAGATCTAGGAACAAATATTCAGGGCAGAGGCCTGCCAGGTAGGACACACATTGTATGGATCATTTTGACAGGCCACCACACTACATAATGTTTGTCTAGATTGACTGAATCTAGACTGTACAGTCACTGCCTATGGTCAGTTTTATATAAACAATATTTTTTCCTTATTTTTAATTTTCCTTTAAAGTATAAACTTTACTGAGAAGTTATGAAGGATAAGTTGCTAATTTATTCTCCTGAAAATAACAGTTCCCTTTCTCTCATGCTGATCCAATGGCTTCATTACTTTCACTGATCTGGAACATTCATTAGTGATTCTGACTTAATTTTGACTTTCCAAATCTGATTACTTGTTCTAGGCATGCATTTCAGAAAGTACTGAAGACAGAGTCAACCAGGCAACTAGCATTTTCATAAGAAAGTCTGCAATGTCAGTCTCTATATTTCTCTCAGCAAAAGCTGCCTTTAACATTCTTTGCTAAGCCTACCTGCTAGTTTGTGTAACTAAGAACTATGTCTAAAATTCCCTTGATGCCTTCACACTTCTTTAAGACTAATGGGGAATTTCCTGGTTTAAGTGTTCCAGCACTAACAAGACTTCAGACATAGCCCCTCAGGAACTGGCTGACTTGTTGCACCTTTACGCATTCACGCTTATTTCTGTAAATGCTACTTCATGTGTTCTTATGTTACACTAGGAATGCAAACCGTATCAGGTAACTGCAGTAATAACCACAGTACTTTGTTATATATTGCATCATATTTCTCTCATCTGTTACAATAAACCTGGTCACTTTTCCATGCTTACTTATTAGTACCATTTATAAATATACTGTTACATTGATAACAGTGAGATATCCAACTGTCAAAACTAGTGTTGGGCAGCCATAGATCTCTAGCTGTTGTGGAACTACATTTCACATCATGCCTTACAAGCCAACAAGCAGATTGATTGGAAATTCTGGCTTTGTAATTTATTTATTTACAAGGAATTTAAAAATTACTTACAAGCAGATTCTGACAAATAAATGTAGTAATATGTTCACTAAAATATCTTTGAATACATTTTTGAATGTAACTAGCTGAAAATAACAAGAAAAATTCTGCTGACAGGTATGAGGTATCTGAACATATCTGCAGCAACTTTCAATTCTCCTGTTCTTCATGAATGCTGGACTTTTCTGATCTTCCACACTTCCGTCTCTAGTAGTGGAGTTTGCATGTTCTTTCTTGCTCCCTATATATTCCCTCATGGGCTATAGTAATAAATTGGAATTTATGTCTTTTTTTTTTTTTCCAAAAAAGATTTTTATTAGAAAAAAGCAGACAGAACAATACATATACAGACGTGAATCCAAAGTCGGACATGTCACTGTATGTCGCCTCCCGTGTCACAGACAGGTCAAAGCATAACAGGCAATACAAAACATAACGTTGTAAAACATTGTGTCAACATAATATTACAATCCAGGAAATGTACGTCATATAAGAAGTGAGCAGAGAGATATATTGTTTTCTGACCTTTGAGCAGGATTTTCTGTCAGGGAAGTGTGAAGTGTGTGATATTGAATATGAACAGCACATGCTAAAGCTTTAGATCTGTCTCACGTGTCCAAGAATTGGATGTTTGAGTGATATGGGGCGTAGTACGTCTGTTTGAAGGACAGCGTTCTGTATCGGTTATGGTACGAAAAGGAAGATAGGAGTAGAATATAGGTGGGAGCTAGAGCTCAGGTAGAGAAAAGGTTAGTTAGTAAGTAGAGTAGTGTGGTGATAAAGGTAAGTATATAGAAAGGAAAGGAAGAGGGGAAGAGAGAGAGAAGAAAAAAAAGGGGGGGGGAGTGGGGGAATGGGTTGGGAAGGGAGGGCTTAGGGTGAGGTAGAATGGAAAGAGGAATGTATGCTTGCGGATAGGTGGCTCTCAACATGTTAAATGAGCCACATTAAAAATATCTACTTATAGCTTAAGACGTGATGCATATCAAAACAGTCAACTGGGTAATATGCGGATACAAATTCTAAGGGAGTAAGCCTTGGTGAAAGACTAAGGTACGTCTAGGCATATATCAAAAGGTATCTCAGAAAAGAGGTTATTCCCCAGTGTCAGAATATGTCTAGTCAATCATTACTGCACTAGTAGGTGGTAAGTAGGGGTGGTTTTAAAGTGCCTCCAACAGGCCCAAGTTCCCCTGAATCTCTCGGGATATTCCTTGGCAACAGAGATCAGTTCCTCCATTTCCTCCATTCTATTGAGCCTCGCAAACCATTCACGGATAGTGGGAATATTTGTTGAGCGCCAGTGGACTGGGACACACTGTTTTGCGGAGTTAACCATATGCCTGGCAAGTGATTTACGATATATCTGGAATGGGAGTGAGGAGTGGTGCAGTAGAAATTCTGCAGGGGTAAGCTCTAGGCTATACGTGGTTACTCGTGCAATTGTAGATTGAACT